TAAATCGCGTTGCATGTTCGTAAGGATTACACCTTTCAATAGGGATAAAAATATTGCTGGTCAATTTTCATAGCAACAGGCGAAGTTGTCTTGATGTTTTTGGTGAAGAAAGCTTTTATTAAGCTTTTGTTAACATAAATAACAGTAAAAAATATCTATAACAGTCCGAAGAGGTCTATGAATTGACTAAATTGAGCGCACCAGATGTGAACTCAACAGTTGCCGGCATACTTTGAAATTGTATAAGGTGTACGAGAAATTGCAAACTACTGTGATAAAGCCTTATTTGAAGAAAAAATACAAAATGATGAGCGTTTTAACACTATAGTTCAGTTTAATTCCCACATTTAATCTCAATTTTTCAGGGTTACACTCTTTGTTTATTGTTGTGCTGTACATATTATTTTGTGATCTATCGGCGGGTTTTATTAATCTGGATTCTAATTACTGCTTCCCTCATGTACATGGAGCTTCGATCTTATGGTTCACAAGTAAGTTGTTCACAAAATCTTGTCCCACATTTTACTTATATTGGGTATCTTTTCCAGTTTCTTGCTGATTTGCGCTATCACTTGACGAAAACGGCTTATATGAGCAGTACGGAGTCTTGCTGCACTCCAGCAGTATTGTTTCGAGCATCAAGCATACCAAAGATCGTATCGAAACTGGTAGCAGAAACAAAAAGGAGTGCACGTATCGGTCATGCTAAGGACCACATACTCGATGAATCAAAATTTGTTGGAAGGCAGACCGACATGAATCTCGTTGTGCATATAGGTTCCTATAGTTCAGTACGTAAACGCAGAATTAATCTCCATGAAGTGATAGATGTAAGAAGATGAGACGAGTGAGTGAAGTATTCATGTATACAATTGCCTATTGTGATAACTCCTAGTGATCTTACGTGAGTGTGCCTTATCTTACCAAATTCACATATCATATATTGCTAAATGTATGTACTTAAGTTACTTTACATTTTCAGTTGAATGAGTTGCTAAGTCATGGTGTCCTTACCTTTTTCCAAAGTAGATGTTTAATCATCTTTAAAACATTTGATTGTATGCTCCAATGCGTTCTGAATGCGTTGAACAATGTTCTCTTAGTTTGTTATGAAATAAATGAGAACTTCATATGCCTATTTTTGAGAGCTTTGCGCTTTCATCTCAGCTTCTTGATCAAATGCGTGTTATAGTTCGTAGGAATGTTCTGAGCAGTCCCTCTAAGTGAGCAGTTTCTAAGCAAAGGCGCATATAAGTGGATTCTTACCATCACACTATCAGCCATTGAGTTGGGACGGTCATGAACTATTAGCAGATGAGTGGCGCCCGGAAACGTTCCCGTTGTCAACTACGCCAATGACGTTTTGCCCAAGATCATGGATGTT